GGGGCACCCCCGCGGCGGGGGTCCGGGGGTCAAACCCCTACCCCGGCTTTGTCCCCGGGCCCCCCTGCGTGACAACCCTGGCCGTCATAAGATTGTCTTCCAACCCATAAGTTATCTGCCTTGTTCGACCTGCTAAAAATCACTCTCGTTACATGTTGTCCGCCCAGTCGATGGTAGTAATCCAACTGTCGATGTGAAACTCTATGGGGAGAGGGCAATGCCTCCCAAACCATAGAGTATAGGGAGGGTAACCTGTACTAGCCCAGACTGTGACATTGTCCGCCCATATCGCATATCGGAAGTATGGCGGTCAGTCGCTATCTTTCCCTTTACACCACTTCGATAATGATGCGATCAATGATTGATGACTTGGCTCTACAGGAAAATTGGATTGAGGATGATAGGAAGTGGCTATTGAGACTCTGGTTTCTGCCCTCTTGAATACACTCTGAACTTCGTCTACTATGAATTATGCCCCTCTGTCCATTACAATCCTACTGACACAGCCGTATCGGGACAGATACTCCGAGACAAAGTTTTTCACCTCCTTAGCCGGTTTCGTCCTGATGGGCTTACCGTCCTCAAACCCAGTGAAATCGTCCCATATATTTATTGCGTAGTTCATATTTCCTACCCCTTTTGGCATCTTTACTAAGCCAATATGAACCTTCTCTCATAATCCGGAAGGGTAGGATAGGTGAAGAGGCTCCTTCTATCTCACAAGGGTCCTCTTCTGGCACTCTCCACAGGTCACACAATATCTTTTGACATCCTTGTATTATCCTTCCCACCAGTATCACCTGCGAACCTTCTCATAAGTCTCTTTCCCTCCTCTATGTCCACCTACTCTGACGTCATGAAGCTCTGCCACTATTGACTGCTTCTCTTCAGGATCGCAGACTACACGTAAAGGCATTCATGACCTGGTAGGTCTACGAAACAGATGTGTCGATCTAAGACGGAACTGAATTGCCTGCCTCCTGATCTCAGACTCTAAACTCTCCTCTTCCGATAGGTGTAACCCGATCGTTCGGTATTTCCCCTCATAGAGGTTAACTAGGAATCGGTCCGCTCGCCTTGGCTCAGTCATGGCCAGCGCCCCCGCGGATGTCGGTCGCTCACCGTCAATCAGAATCTGCGATAACCCATCGACGACTGCGTTCTTAGTCCCTGAAATCCTCTCGACGGTATAATCAAATAGTCGGATCTTAATCAGTCACCAAGCAATATTGAGATCGGTTGTTGAAATCCTTTTGTAAGACCGAGGCAACAGCAGTAGGATCTACCCGTAAGATAAACCTCGTCCTATAAATGTAGTGCCTAAAGGTTTCCATACTACACAAAAATGTCAACACTTCGTTCCTAAACTGAGTTGTATTAAGACTCCAAGTCTCGAATCTCAACGACCTCTTTTTTCCATCAGCATCCTTTTGGGAAAGCAGTCCTCCGACCGAACACGGTCCAGCATCCGTAGACGTTATGAAGGATCTGCTTTCTTCGTCATCGAAGAAGAACACCCCTAGGACACGTCCTCCCTCCTTGAACTCTTCCTTGAGAGCAATCATAGCGGTCTCTTGAGGAGAGTCCCAGTTAAACCGTATGCTCTTGCGAATGAGAAGTCTCAGGAGTTCTGCCTTCTCCGCATATCCACATATAGCTTTGCCGGATCCGCCGCCGACCTCTCGTATCGAAGATGTACCATGAAATCTTAATCGATGAAACTGTCCACCGGCTCTTCGTTTCGCTCACTGTCAAATTGACATCTTCTAGCCGTTCTAAAATCACGTAGATATTCGTTAAGTGTTGCTCAACGAACCTTCTGACACCGAGTGTCACCTTTGCCTCATCTTTTTCCACGGGCCCCTTAACCGGGAAGTCATCTAGAAAAACTTCCACCTTATCAAGGATAATAATAGTCGGATCTTAATCAGTCACCACGCAATATTGAGATCGGTTGTTGAAATCCTTTTGTAAGACCGAGGCAACAACGGTAGGATCTACCCGTAAGATAAACCTCGTCCTGTAAATGTAGTGCCTAAGGGTTTCCATACTACACAAAATTGTTAACACTTCGTTCCTAAACTGACTATAATTTCGCTTAGTTGTATTAAGACTCCAAGTCTCGAATCTCAATGACCTCTCTTTTCCATCAGCATCCTTTTGGGAAAGCAGTCCTCCGACCGAACACGGTCCAGCATCCGTAGACATTATGAAGGGTCTGCTTTCTTCGTCATCGAGAACAACACCCCTAGGACACGTCCTCCCTCCTTGAACTCTTCCTTGAGACCAAGCATAGCGGTCTTTTGAGGAGAGTCTCAGTTAAACCGTACACTCTGGCGAATGAGAAGTCTCAGGAGTTCTGCCTTGTCCGCATATCCACATATAGCATCGCCGGATCCGCCGCCGACCTCTCGTATCGAAGATGTACCCTGAAATCTTAATCGATGAAACTGTCCACCGGCTCTTCGTTTCGCTCACTATCAAATTGACATCTTCTAGCCGTTCTAAAATCACGTAGATATTCGTTAAGTGTTGCTCAACGAACCTTTTGACACCGAGTGTCACCTTTGCCTCATCTTTTTCCACGGGCCCCTTAATCGGGAAGTCATCTAGAAAAATTTCCACCTTATCAAGGATAAAGTCTTTCAAGACCGCCACCATAGCACTTTAAAACACCTTTACTCCGTTGGTGCATCCCTTAGGGACTACCATCATTTGAACTAATCCCAACAGTGTGTGCATAGTAGTGAGATGTTTGACTCTAGGGTCCAACGGTATCTCGTCATAACCGGAGAATAGATCGCAGACATAATAGATAGATCTACCTGCTGCTCCTTCCGCTAACAGATCCGCGTGGGGTAGGGATTCGACATCGTGGATGGTGACCACATTTACTTTATGAAGGTAATGAATCCACATGATCTTCCCGTTCGGTTTTCGTAGGAAGAACCACTTGTTGGCATAGGCGCTATCCGATGGTTCGGCTACATAGGAGACCATCTTTTCCTTCAGAAATGCAATCACTTCTTCCTTTTCCTTCTGAGTGTACTTCCATCCTGCATCGTTTCGCGGAATGTGTGGAACTATATAAATCCTTGCAGGTTTGTCATACCTAGGGTCGATCCTCCCTCTCTCCGCGTCGCTAAACGCTATGAATTTATCGCAGATCTTGAGAACTTCCGACACGCGTTCTCTCTCCTGTTGGGTCAAGTTCCCATCTCCGATATCCATCTCCACTATTCTCTCTTCCGTTAAGCGTTGCGACTCTTTCTTCTTTCTTTCTTTTATCTGTTTTGCAATCTCCTCTTCAGATATTCTCTTTAGCGCGGATCGCTCTTGACCAACTGCCGCCGACTTCTATGTAACCGTTTGAACGTCGTGAACGAGCGTTCGCGTTCAAATCCGCGTTTGAACGTAGATTTAAATTCGAGTGCAAAATTGAACGCTGTTTTTTTTTTTTTTTTTTTTTTTTTTTTTAAGA